GGCATGGGTGCTCAGAGATGGCAAGAGCAAGGTCTGTAAATGGTACAGATCACAACTCAGGGATCTGAGACTACTAAAATGTAAATAGACTCTCTCAGAGCCCAGAGATGTACTGCCAGGCGAACCAGGACCCACTAGAGTACAGGACAGGATAGTCATGGGGCACTTCAACTCTCTGTTTACATATTGAAAGGAGACAGAACTGCACTTTTGCCCTCACATAATTTCTCTTTCAGCCTATTCTTTTATGAATCATATGATTAGTTTTGTGCCTATTATAATTATGCAGTATTTACTTCACAGGAGAAAAAGAATTGTAAAACAAAGGGCATATGACCCACAGTTTTAAGTACTAACTCCCTATCTCAAATAAAATGGATATCTCAAGACCTGAAAGTTAGACCTACCACTAACTACTACTAACTGAAAAAAGAGCCAGTTTTACATTGAAAGATTATAGGACAAGAACTTACAAGAAATGGCACACTGGATCAAGCCAATGGCTCACATAATCAGCAGAGTATTTGGTCTATGATGGTGGCTCCCAAGGCAGCTTTGTTAATGAGCATGATAGGTCTTCATAATGCCAATTTTATGTTGGAATGTCCTTAGCATCAGATCTTTCGTATCATGTACTCTTCTAACTGTCCCTCCTTTATTAAATAAAACTGTTCAATTAATTTGTAATGCCATCAATTTTCTGAAATAGAAAGGGATTTATGAAGGAAATTTGATTGATATTAAACTCGATGCATAACTGGGTATAAACTGCACTTAAGAATAATCATCATTCTGAATGTGTGTTCCACTGCTCAATACCTGTTCTTGAAGAGACAATAACTATTTGTCAAACTCTTAATAAATGTCAACAATGAGCTGGGCATGGTGGCACATGCCCATAATCTCAGGAGGCTAAGGTAGGAAGATGGCAAGTTCAAAGCCAGCCTCAGCAACTTATCAAGGCCATATCTCAAAATAAAAAATAAAAAGGGCTGGAGATATGGTTCAGTGGTTAAGTGCCACTGGGTTCAATCCCTAGTACAAAAAACAAACAAAAAGATTCAAGAATTTTAGAAGATGAATTTTATCATTTGGTAGGAAGATATCAGTGATCAAAATAACATATTCTGTTCTCTTCTAGCCTATCCTATTTTCTGTATTACTTCTTTATTTTATTTATTTATATGCAGTGCTGAGAATCAAACCCAGTGCCTCACACATGCTAGGCAAGCACTCTACCACTAAACCACAACCCCAGTTGTATATTACTTTTTTAAAATAAAATTTRTCATGGTTATCAAGTTTTTTTAATTGATTTTTTAAAAAAATAAATGACAGCAGAATGCATTACAATTCTTATTACACATATACAGTACAATTTTTCATATTTCTGGTTGTATATAAAGTATGTTGACACCAATTTGTGTCTTCATACATGTACTTTGGATAATGATGTCCATCACATTCCACCATCCTTGCTAACTCCTTGTCCCCTCCGTTTCCTTCCCACCATGGTTATCAAGTTAATAAATAGAAAAGCTTATAGATATTTTTTTGTTAAAATCTCTGCCAATTATTTTGAAAAAGTTAATCACTTTGGCTGATAATTTTAAAATGATCAAATTTTTCAGAGCCCTCTGTACTTTTTAAGAGCAATGCATGCACAAATACATGAACACACACACATATGACCTTATTTTACTTTATAACTACCTTATGTGGTACACAGAATCTAGTGTCAAGTTTTCATTTTTGCAAATATAAGAACATATGCACAGAGGTTAAGTGATTTCTCAAAGTCAAGCAGCTGAGGAATGATAGGGTCAGATGATAGGGATTTTCTCTCTCTAATCAGTACAATAATTCTTAGATTTTGTGGTCAAGTAGAATTTCAAAAAGTATCTGAAGAACCCAAAATAGGGTTGCAAACTTAGTTATTTTTCAGGTAAAGATTGTGTGTGTGTGTGTGTGTGTGTGTGTGTATGTAAAAAACTTCTACCTACTATTGCCATCATGTCATAAAACTGTCATTTTTTTTTATTATCTACAATAGGAAAAACATAATTCTAGGAAAAAAAAGTGTTATTCTTAAACTAATAAAATTTGCTGTATGGGGAAGTCACTACATTCTAGTTCTTTTCTCATTTGCTGTGGATTAGTGAAGATCCACAGTCTAGAACTAGTTCTCAGACAGCTTACAATACCTATAAACTATTTGCCTTTTGTGCTCTTGCATGTCTTTTTCTTCTTGTATTTCATTGTCTTTAAGAAAGGTATCAATAAGTGTTAAAAGTTTTCCTTTTGAGGGTCAGGGGTGTTGCTCAGTGGTAGAGTGCTTATTTAACATGAATGATGCCCTGGGTTTGATCCCTAGCCCAAAATATTTTTTTTTTTTAAAAGAAAAAGAAAATAAATTAAAAAAGAAGGAAAAAACTTTTTCTTTTGATGAGATTGGGTGTGTACGGCCACAGACAAGCTTTTCCTTTTGAAAGTTGCTGCTCTGTACTCTTACTGTAAGAAAGTGATGAGTATCATAAATTTACATATAATCAAAACAGAGCTGTAGCTTGACTAAGCGTGAAGGAGAGGACTGGCAGCAGGTAGTGTGGATGCTACCTGGTACTCCACACAACGTATGGCTTCCACGTTATTTTAATTCAAAAAAAAAAAAATAGGGAAAGTACTTTATCCAAGTCTTCTCACTTCTCACTCCACTTTCAAATCTATCCAAGGAAATGAATTAACACAGTGACTCCTATCCAGGCAGAGGCTGTGCTGCATCTGTCCTTACCTCCCAAAGGTCTGCTTCTTACTTCATTCCCAGATTTGGTTTATATTCTACCCCAAATTCCCAAGCCCTATAACAAATAAACTTCTAACCTTATAAAACCTTAAAGTTAATCTACCATTGTATTCTACACACCATTGTATTCATACTCTACAAGGAATAATTATCAAATCCCATCCAATCTTACATCTGTGATAAATGTGTGGTCTTTTGGTATTTGTGATCTATGATGACTTCCTTCAGCTTTGGGAAGGAACTGCATGAATAGTATAGTGAAAGAGAAAAAGGAAACTCAACTACGTATCCAACCAACCAAATCATGCCCTGTGATCTGAGTCACAACAAGACTACTTCCAGTCCCAAACCCAAACCAGTTCCATGGGGAAAGCAGCTCATCAATGTATGTTTTTGTCAAGGAAGATCCCCTTACTGATTATAATGTTCAACAGAGGATAGTCAAAGAAGTAGACTTTCCCCCAATACATTAATATATATAATTTTACTCATAACACAAAATTTATTTACATGGGATAATAACTGTATATCACCAAAAGATGGCACAGTAATAATAACATATTTATATATGCATTTTATGACATATAAAACATTTTATGACATATAAAACACTTTATCAAATACCATTATTTCTTAGGAATATTATGAGATGAGTGAGCTGGGGTTGTGGCTCACTGGCAGAGCACTTGCCTAGCATGTGTGAGGCACTAGGTTCAAGTCTCAGCACCACATATAAATAAACAAATAAATAAAATAAAGGTCCATCAATTAATAAAAATATTTAAAAAAGAGAATATTATGAGATGAGCAATGATATTTACATTTCATTGAGAAACTGAGGCTCAGAAAGGTTATATGATTTGCTCAGGGTCACACAAGCAAGAGGGCTAGAACCTAAGCCTTATCC